CAACTTTAGCTTGATTTTATTATGCCTAGCCCCCCCCCCACCGCCCCCCCCCCTTCACTGCCGCCCCACCCCCCCGTTGGGAGTGATTCGGCGAGGCGAGGAGTGGGAGAGCCATTTGGCGCTGCCGCTGCTGCTACCCGCGCCACTCAACGATGAAATTAAGAGACTTCACGCACCAGCCCGAACACCCACGCTCCACCGCCTTCATTTTACGTTTGACTTTTATGATTTTTTTCTTCCCCCCCCCCCCCCCCCCCCCATTCATTGCATTATTTCATTATTTTCTTCTTCCGCGCAAGCCCTTTTATAGCCGGCTTGGCGCGTGTTTTTTTTGTTCGAGTACGTTTCGGATATATATATTTTTATGCCCGGCCCCTTTGATGCTGCGGCATGCGTGTTGTCGACGCGCTACTTGGGGTGAGAGCGTGCATGCCTGCAAATGTACCCTCTTGGAGGCAAGTCTGTAAATGGAATGTGCACACATTAGTTACGAATCATAATTTTAGAAAGGCCTCTGTCAATCCACTGCCGGACGTAGGCCTGCTACCCACACACAGTGTTGATCGTGGGCATTGTTTGACCATCCTTCACTACACTGGTCAGTGACGGAGCCAAGGACTGATTCAGATATCACTCACCGTTGATAGAGTGAAATCTGAATCGCGTGGCCCTGGCCAGGCATCGTTTAAAGAGGTTTATCGCGGTTCAAAGTGCAGTGCACAAACTACGATGCTACGTACGGTGTGAAAGAAGTTCAACATGCATACGCACACTACACGTCCTCAGATTCGTTATACTTGTATTATATTTGCCCCTTATGTGTTAGCACATATGATCTGGCCAGGCGGTGCAGTGTTATTCTGATAAATTTGAAATACTGGTTAGGGGTCAACGCGGCCCATCATACCTCAGTGGTTTCATAACGTGAGTGCCACTTTATAAAGGAAGTCTACAGCAGTCTTCACGTGGTTAAACTTGCCCCCGTCCAGGGAAATGTGGAGCTGCCACCACCGACAGAGAGCGGAACTCCCGGTTGCGCAATTATGAGTAAGAATGTTGTTTTCCCACCCATCATCATCATCAACATCAGCGTCATAATCACCATCATCACCATCATCACCTCACCATCACCACCATCATCACCATCATGACTATCATCACCATCATCACCATCACCACCATCACCACCATCATCACCATCACCACCATCATCACCATCATCACCATCACCACCATCACCACCATCATCACCATCACCACCATCATCACCATCATCACCATCATCGCCATCACCACCATCACCATCATCATCACCATCACCACCATCATCACCATCATCACCATCACCACCACCAACACTGCTATCGTCACCATCACCATCTCACCAACACCAACACTGATATCGACACCATCACCACCATTACCAACACCACCAACACCGCTATCGACACCATCACCACCATCACCAACACCACCAACACCGCTATCGTCACAATCATCACCATCACCACCTCACCATCATCACCATCATCACCACCACCAACACCGCTATTGTCACCATCACCACCTCACCACCACCAACACCGATATCGTCACCATCTCCCCAGAGTCGATGGGCAATATGAGTCCCGCCTGCTGGTGAAACTACACAAACATAATTATATACATATTCTTGGTTCTTTCGGTAAAGTCACGTAGAAGGGAAACAATGAAATAATAAAAATATAAAACAATACAATTCTCACGACGTTTCGACTGCAACACAAGCAATCATCATCAGGTGTGAAAACCACAGCAAGAAATTTTGAAAAAAGTGGCGGGTTGTTTTTTTAACTTTAGCACCACGGAGAGCAATTTGGCAGTTATTCAGATGGACGAGTCCATCTATGTTCGGAAAAGAGGAGGGGGGAGACGAAAAGAATGGATGCGGTCTGAAAGCCACCGTAAACGTGAACAATCAATTAAGACCCGAAATGGTTTATCAAATCCTTCCAATGATTGCTAAACCAGAATCCATCTTCTCGGCTGAAATTGTCTCTGTGTTTGTATATGTGGATAGCTTCATGAACGAATCTCTCATGGTAGCCAGATGGCTTGCAGAGAACCTCTGTCTTGGAGAAGTCAATGTCATGTGAGCCTACTGAATAACTGCCAAATCGCTCTCCGTGGTGCTAACGTTAAAAAACGCCACTTTTTTCAAATTTTCTTCCTGTGGTCTTCACTCCTGATGATGATTGCTTGTGTTGCAGTCGAAACGTCGTGAGAATTTTATTGTTTTATATTTTTGTTATTTTATTGTTTCGCTTCTATGTGACTTTAGCGAAAGAACCAAGAATATGAATCCCTGCAGTCACGAAAGCTTTAAATTAAAATATAATTATATACCATAGACTGAGATATAAATTTTCCACTGATTTGGAATTCTACACGGGTTGCTAAGATATGTGTTACAGTGAAGCATCGGTTTCTCAACAAATTACACCACCGCTCTCCGCAAACCAACAGTTGCTGTTTTTTCGAGAGACACGTGCCCTACCGTAGGAAAGTGGAATTTTCACCCACTGCCTTAGGACTCTGACTCACTCCCGTTTTCACTCCCCAAAGCAACACTTAAATGACTCTTTGGTTCTTTCGGTGAAGTCACGTGGGTAGAAATCAAATCAAATAAAACAAATCACCACGTTTTGATCGCAACACAAGCGGTCGTCATAGCAACGCCTGATGACGACCGCTTGATCGAAACGTCGTGATTTGTTTCGTTTAATTTTATTTCTACCTACGTGACTTTACCGAAATAACCAAAGGGTATGGATTCCTGCAGTCATGAAAGCTTCAAAACACTCAAATTGACAACTGGGTGAAGTGACCTGAGAGTGGTGGCTTTAAGGGAGCTCTCTGGTCTTGGGCCCACAGTGCGGTACAACTCCCGAGGACAGACGAGTCACCCGGGGTGACGGTGGTGATATCGTGGGACCCTTTTTTGCCAGCATCAAAGTATGAAAAATTAGAGTTGGTTTTACCCGTGATGTAGCTGTTTAACCCGAACTATAAATGCTCTGATACGTGGCGTTCTCTGGTCTGACACTGGTGATACGAGGCCATTAAGAAGTGCGTCTCCCGTGTAGGCAAATCAGTTTCAAAGACAATGCACATATTGTCGGATCATGTTTGTCTGTACGTTTATCCACACGTACGTGTGGTTAATGCGGACTTAACTCCTTGCAAAAGGTGTTTGAACATCCTAACACCGCCTGTTGTATCGCCAGATAGGGTGAAACGTCTTCTCATTTTTGCAGACAGTGGTTTCCCAGAACAGGTCAGTGGGGTTGGCCCTCGGTAATCTTAGCGTCACAATTACCACCCAGGCCCCTCCCCCATCGACTCTTGCAATGTTACCCAAGTGGCAACTCTGGAAATAAAAATTAAAAAAAACCCCGCGTCGCCACAGCACGCTGGCGCCAGCGACGACGAGCGGGACCCCGACGGGGCCTCGGCCGTTTGTGAGACAAAGGGCAGGGGTTGAACTGGCGAACGCGACGCTCGCGACGCTCGCGACACGCTGCAAAGTCGGGCTGCGCGACGCGCGACGGGGGCCAGTGCGTGTGCGTGCGCGCACAACGCAAATACGCTCTCTCCACGTGTAAATCCCGGATGCTTGGGGTAGGGGGGGGGGGGTGATCGCAGCGCGATGAAGCAAGCAAAAAAAATAAACACGCAACCGCTTGCGAGTGTGTCCTCGTTGGCGCGACAATCAGCTGCCTATTTCCATATAAATTGGCTGTGGGAAAAATTGGGGGTCCCATTTATTTGTATAGTTAGCTCTCCAGGACGCGTGCTAATCACCGAACAAGCCTCCCCAAGAATAACCGCGGAAAGTGGTGAAATTGGAATTTCGAAGTGCTTATTATTTTTTAAAACCACCTTTCGGTTTTGTGGGCAGCTTAAGCAGATCTATATGCATTTATTTACTTACTTTAATCAGGCTATTCATAGCGCTCACTTCCGTGGATAATCCTAATGAAGGCGGCTAACGTTGCCGCATTGTAATTGCAGCCCGACGCGTTGAGTGACCGCCGTTTGAGCCGAGGCTGCGCTGCCCGGCGCTGCGGATCGAGCGAGGGACCGGCACTTGGGTTCAATCCCCTGCCCTTGGTCCACCCAGATCATCGTCCATCCAGGGTCATGAAAAAAAAACGCACATGGCTTTGTTGGAAGTCAACATGCATCACTTTATAGTTTATACCGGGCCCTGCCAAAGGAATGTAGAATTTCCACTCATGGGCTCAGTGCCCCTGATCGAGATGAACACCATTTTGGCCAATATTTTATTTAAATTCAGCCATTCATGACAAGGCTGAGTGAGACTCGTCAAACTCGCAACTCAAGAACCTGATTTTGTCTCTTACGACACAAAAAACAAGTTAGCTTATGCGTGATAGAGAATATGAATATTCTTCAGAAGGTAACGGAAGTAAGACTCGGATGGTTTAGGCACATGTTGAGAAGGTGTGAAGGCGTCGAATTGAGAGGAGCCATGGAAATGCCACCCGCGGCAGGGGAGAAGGACGGGAGGGAGACCGAGAGTGAGGTGGGAGGACGCGGCAGAACGAGATCTGAGGGCGGAGGATTTGATTTGACACGACACGTGGGACTTCTGGCTTAAAACAAGATGCAAGTCAAGGGGCCGCTGTGTATTTCTCCGGTGCTCTTTTTGCTCATGTATCGTGAAAGTGCATGCGCGCTCTACGGGGGTCTCTGAGTAACTCAATGGCTCCGTACGTAACGGGAGTGGTACGCGACTAGACAAGTGGCGCAGGATAGAAGCGCATGGAGGGATAAATCTGTGCAGTCGCCCTCCACCCCCCCCTCGCTCCCCAGTGCAAGAGTGGCGCTTCTGGCTTGGACGAAGCGCTCAGTGGTACCGGCAGAGCGCTCCAGCACGGCCAACCGCGGGCGACCTTTCCAGGGCAAAAAAAAAAAAAATCTGGAAAATAACAAACCACCTGTGATCTTGTCCCGAATCAGCTTGCACGACTCGATCTCGCCGATGCTCCCGAACAGGCTCTTCATCTCCTCCTGGGTCATGGTCTGCGGCAGGTAGTTGACGATGAGGTTGGTCTTGCTGTCCTCCATGGAGGAGCCGGCGGCCTGCAGCGAGGGCCCCAGCAGCGGGCAGCCGGCGCCGCCGCCCCCCCCGCCCCCGCCGCCGGAGTTGGGCCCAACGTTCGCCGGGCCGCCGCACACCGATCCGTTTGCCAGGTGGGTCTCCATGGCCGCCAGTACCTGCTGGTGAGAAAAGCACGGCACATTAGAAGCCCCCTCCCAGGCACGCGTGCGAGAGAGAGGGGGGGGGGGGGGGAGATGCGCGTCCGTTCGCTGCCCGATTGTCGGGAGAAACGCGGAAGCCGCCGTTGCGGCACAACGACAGCTCGGCCTGCGCCCTGGCGCAGAGGAAAATTACGGCGGTGGCCCACCTTTGGTGGCGGGGCAATTGTGGTGATGTCGTACCGATTATGGTGATGATGTTGTGACGATTATGGTGATGTTGTACCGATTATGGTGATGATGTTTTACCGATTATGGTGACGATGTACCAATTATGGTGATGATGTTTTACCGATTATAGTGATGTTGTGACGATTATGGTGACGATGTACCAATTCGAATAATTCACGTCTGCAAATGACGATGGATCTCATCACATAAGAAAAAAAGCGAGCAATCGATTACGATTCGTATTATTTTCAGTCGTGCCGTTCAGTCATCGGCTACCATCGATCGCGTGTGGCGTCACAGCCCTCGCGCGATGCCACCATGATGCCACTCCGAGACCACTGGTGGCGGACTTTGGCGATACCTTTCAAGTCTTTCTCATTCACAAAGCATCCAGCTGGTATGCGGTAGCCAAGGACAGCAGAGCCTGCGCGTGCGCCAACAGGATTTGAGCTGTGCTACGGTGTCCAGTCCATTTCTAAGAGAGGCAGCAAATGCTCACCGTGATCAATTGTCAACGCGAAGCTTCCATTCACTTCCCCTGCGATCGATCAGTCTCGTGCGATCGCCATTCACTTTTTATTGAAATCGCTCGCAATTACGTCCGCTCCGCTGATTGCATGCAGATCAATTCCCAAAGTGATTGCCCATTGAGATCATTTCGCCGAGATCAATGCCCGTCCAGTCGATGGAGGGGGGGGGGGCATTGTATCAGTTTCAATCGCAATGTCGCTCATCGCCAATGCTCATTGCACACTTGCACGCACGCACGCGCAACACGGTGAGTGACTAGTAATGTAACGAACGCAGCCGCCCAGATTCATGGACGCGCTCAATGTTCAACGGGCTTGACTTGAGCCCTACGCACGTCCGTGGCCTTGTGCTTTTATGAGAACCTCAAGTGGCCGGGTGGTAGAGGCAACGGTGGACTCAGCATTGACCGCTCATTCAGGGAGACACTCTCACGCGTGCACGTAAGGAGTATTGAGGAGTTGAACAGGCGGGTTTCAACATCGTTTGCACTGAGACGCTATTAAAGCCACGTGCAAAATCTTGCAAATGCCAATTTTCTACCCTCGTCTCCGAAGGGAGAAGTTCCGCTAATGCGCGGGGTCGGCCACTCTGGTTTTACTTCACGGTGCGCCTCTGTCTATACCGTGCCTCATTATATAGACATACACGCGCAACCCACAAACTTAAACTGAGACCCATACACTCACATTGATATGTAAAATATATAAAAATACAAATATCCCCCATATAGCCTTAACAGACTGCAAGCACCTATGAAGACCGGAATGGTATACGTGGGAGTGGGTGACCAGCACCATGCCACGCTGCCTTTGTCTCCCTAGTGGCGATGTTTACACAGTGTACCAGGTACTAATTTGAGGCTGAGTCAAGCAAGGAGAGGCCTAGGGCCGGTTCAGATATTCGTCACTGGTGTTGGCCATGAGCGGGAATCGAACTTGGTTTGCCGGGTTCATAGCGCAATGCGCTAACGGCTGCAATAGAGACCCATACACTCACATAGATCCACATAGACACTCGAAAAACTCACGTGGTTGGCTACGTAAGTCGGTGCCACCTAGAGTGGCAAATGCTGCCAGTCACCACCATGGCCAGTGAGTGCCAGTGTCAGCCGAACGCAAGAACTGAGTTTTTGTTCACACGTGACGATGCCGGACGCATTCTCCAGCGAAACGTCGTGCAGGTTTTGTCAAAGTCTCGGTCGCTTTCCAACATTCAATTGGCGTTACTTGCCCACGTGACGAACTTGATTTGATTGGCTCTGCCGCTGGGTGGTGGAAGGTTATAGTAAAACAACAACAAACACTGACATAATGCCTCTAACGATGTAACCCAAAAGAAACGAATTATACATCTTGAAAATTCTGTGTTCATTGTATTGGAAATTGGCAAAACAACGCATTTTGTTTTCTACAAATGTTTTTTTATTGTAATAATATCGTAATATTGAGTTTTATATCTCGCGTAGTCGTTGATGCCAATTGCACATCACGATCGCTGAGGCACCACAGACGAGCAGGAAGGCAGCAGCCAGGCAGCGATGAGCTGGCGCCAATAATTGCCAAAGTTCTGCAGTCCTCTATATATCAAGATGTGTTTTAGCCAAATAACGAGTGTTATGTTACATGTGTTTCTCAGTGTTATGAAACTTTCTATTCGATTCCATTCTTGCGTATGATGGCAATATGTTCAGGAGCTTGATGCACTGCCTATCGACTAACATTGCCCATAGTTTAACATCGCCCATAGATTAACATCGCCCATAGACTATCTCGTCTTGTGAATGGCAGCAATGTGTTCCGGAGCTAAATATCTAATGTCGAGGTCTGCTGCTAACCATGACGAGAGGGCATCAGGAGAGAAAGAGTTCGCGGAGTCCTCCTCCTCTTCCTCCTCCGTTGAAGCAGCACAGACCACAGTGGTTTACTACATGGTCCATAGTCTGGGTTTCATGGCCACAATCGTACTGCTATGGCTGGTGTCTTTAATTTCCCATTCATCACGCCTGGGAAGGTCCTTCATCCTGCCATAGATATATTATGGTGGTCACGGATGATGATGATGATGATTACGATGATGCTAATGAAATCATGATTGCCGCGTTTCCTTGGGCACGATGCCCCGACGTTTGGCTCCTGCGTGCTGTGACCGTCAGGAACGATTCACAACAGCTCCTGAAGACACTCCCAGCGCGTCCAGAGAAACGTCGGACGTCGTGGCTAACGGCACACAGGTCCGAGCCGGAAACGCATTGGAGAGCTCCCAAAGTCGATCCATTGGAAGGCTGTCGACTCGCTTGGCGGCATTGTTGGCCATCCATTTTTGCGTTACGTGCGAAATAAAATCAAGAGCGTTTCTCGACAATGAGAAACATTGTTTGGTGATGCTGATTAACGAACAACAACGCAGCACATGCTTCTATAACACTGTGGTCTTAAAAAGAAAAACATGTATATATGCAAAAGGCCAATAACCATTGCCCAAGACGTCACCTATTCTATTATATATTTGTTGTCTTTTAAGGCCACGGTGTTATTGACAAATGCGTCGCGTTTTTTTTTTGGTCCACGATGTTCACCGTCAAATATAAGGTTGAAGATCATATGAACGTCTCTTTTCTCCGTGGGCATGCACCTTGGCCCACAAACAAATCGGAGCTCAGTCGCATTGTAAAGATTTGCCAAGGGGAGTGCAGCGGGAATTAATTTAGACGTTACTCAACAAACAACAAGAAAATCCACAACTTAGTAGATATTCACCGTTCATGGCATTTAAAACCGACACAGGTCACGAAGCTGAAAGTTTCCCTAATGGATTTTTCTTTATTTGATTAAAATGTCTGCGGGGCTTTGGTGTGAAGTTTTACAATGCGTGTTAAGCTGGAATTCAAATTATTGACTTAATTTCCGGAACGATTATGTCACGTTGCTGAGAAATAGCCCTACAGGCAATCACAGCCGGTACCCACAGGACCAGGACTGGCAATAGATGGATGCAGCATAACCGTTTTGACAATGATATTAATTAAACTATCATGGAATATCAATTCGCTGCCAATAGGTTTGCACTGCCTAACGAATTATGCGATTGCAATGATGTTGTACTTTAGGAGTTATTATTTTGGAATGCAATGTACTTTTAAATTCAATATAAAAATATATATTTCACCTGGATAATCCCTTGAGATGGAACATGTTTCCAGGGTGCTGATTGAGACACACACGTAATAACGCGTACGCAAACATTCGAAATCTATGACTTACGCAGTTTTTCAAATAACACTCACAGCCGGTCACACGCGTCAATGAACACGTTCACCACTCACAGCCGGTCACAGGCGTAAATGAACACGTACATCACCCACAGCCGTTCACACACGTCAATGAACACGTTCACCACTCACAGCCGTTCACACACGTCAATGAACACGTTCACCACTCACAGCCGGTCACACACGTCAATGAACACGTACATCACCCACAGCCGGTCACACACGTCAATGAACACGTTCACCACTCACAGCCGGTCACACACGTCAATGAACACGTTCACCACTCACAGCCGGTCACACACGTCAATGAACACGTTCACCACTCACAGCCGGTCACACACGTCAATGAACACGTACAGCACTAAGAAGGTGCGCACCCGGGGGTTCACGTGAGACTTTTTGTTTTCTTGCTGGAAAACATGTGCGCGATTGTTGCAACGAGCTGGTTTTAATTGGGATAATTAAACAACTTGAGACTTGACGGTGCACTTTAGCGGCTCGACAGTGTGCACATTGGCACTGCTCAAGGGAAGGTGGCGCTGTGTGGTTTACAGACATTAAGAATGCCCCCCCCAACCCCCCTCGTACCCTCCCCCTCTTTACCATCCCACTGTCATGTTAGTTATCTCCCCCCCCCCCACAAACTCCCCCCACCCCCCCATATAAATGTTCACTTCTCTGCTAGAAGTGCCTCCTCCCGCACCTGTGTGGGGAAGTGTGCCAAAGCCACCCCCTCTTCACCCAAGCCCGGCCACGGCGTCAATTTCCGGATTTTGTTCGCGGATTTTTTGCCACCACCACCCCCACCCTACCCCACCTTGTTGTTCTGTGATCGGTGCTCTGTACCGAGCTCGTGTTGCGTTGAAAATAAAGCAATAACAACACCGCGAAGTGATAATTGTAGAGCGGCAGTGTAAACTATATATATAAAAAAATATTTTACCAGGTAAGGCCCACTTAGCTATGTATCTCTTTGTCAGTAGCGACCTGG